ATCATTTGACAGCCTTCTGCGATGTCTATTTCAGGATATATTTTAAAACTAGGGCAAATAATTCGGAGGGTACAAAAATTTAGGGGTCGTTGGGGTACAAAGCAATTTAGAGGTACAAAATCATCAATTCGAGGGTACAAAACACCGGAAAAAGGCTTAGTTTGTACCCCCGAACTGTGGATTTTGTATCTCTAAATTACTTTGTACCCCAACGACCCCTAAATTTTTGTACCCTCCGAATTATTTGCCCTAGTTTTAAAATATATCCTGAAATAGACATCGCAGAAGGCTGTCAAATGATTTCAAATCTCCAAAGGTACATTCCATTTTGTGGTTTATGGGAGAGGACAAAAAAAGTCATCGAAAAATCGATAGTGTGGATATCTCGATTTTAAAACCTCCATTGTACATTTCAGAATATTTTTCGAAACTCGTGATATAGTCTTTGATCATTTTCCAACCCGGATAAATCGAAGCTAAAAAATAATCTCATGTTTAATGACATGAAGACTACAAATTTTATGAAATATACTAATATTTAATGCTTTGAGAACCTCACTGAATGTTATAAAAACATGTCGATTCAATTCTCAGTATTGCTGGATCGATCAAAATGAGCACTTGGCATTGGATATTCCTCGCTGTCATAATTTCGGTTATAAATGGTGATGGTAAGGACGTGATTAGGTAAATCACTAAAGTGTCTCTTGTTATTGATGACTTTCTTCACATTTCATGAGATTCTTATTCCAAAAATGGAGTTGGTTAAGGGATTTTCTGGTTGCGAGCCTACCAAAACTTTTCAAATGTTCTTCCGATCGATTTCCATGAAACAAGAAGAAACGAAACATGCGCTCTTCTATTTTTGCAATAAAATCGGGGGTCTTGACACGAAAATCTTTGAGTACCTTGCTTCAGGGGTCTTTTAATCGCTTCGCTTTCCACATAACGGGAAAGACCTCGGTTCTTCTATTCAGCCTGAAGTCATGATTAAAACTGCAGTGATTTTAGTTGCTGCAGTTGTCGTGGCAAATGCTATGATGCGCCCAATAAGAATCCGAAATTACGATGACTGTTCTTGTGGTGAGAAAAAATAACATTTTTAACCGCTTTTGACTGAACCTTGGACCATTTTTGAATCTTCGATTCAACACTTTTTCGGCATTGATTATTTTTGTTGTCCGTAATTTTGATGATTAGAAGTTCCCGGAATACTGTAACTGGTTGTTCAGATACAAACAAGGGGTGAATTATTGAATGGGTTTATTTAGGCATATTAGAAAGATCAAATGGAAGTCCCGGGTTTATTAGAATCGAAACCAACATGATGATTTTCAGAGCATCATGAGACTTATCCGTGTGACGAAGAAGAAGAACCATCGACTCCTCCAACAGCCATACCAACAACACCTTCTACGAGTCTTCAATCGAGTACTTCAAACACAATAACTAGTACGACTACACAGACTACTCCTGAATCTACAACTACACCGGCTCTTTGCCCTGACTTGAATCGCCAAACACCGTTCAAAAGGAAAAATGGATGGTGGTGCGGCTTTGTAAGTTTTTTTCTCACATTTTTTTCTCATAAGAATAAACGTTTTTTTCAGTTGATTTTGACCATTTTCAGGAGTCTTGAGCTCGGCTATCAAATGTCGCATCACTTTGAAAATTTTTATGATTATATCTAGTTCTGTTTTATGTATGACCTCCGAGCTCCAAACTCCTGAAAACGTTTTTCACATATTTATGGTCAGCACTGTACATATGTCTGAAGATGTACCCGTTTTTAGCAGTCCTAGTGAATACGTGCGCTACCATGTGAAGTGCAAAATTACAGTAGGAAAAAGTACTTATTTTCTCTAATAGATGCCCATGAGCTTCAACTTTCCAATCTCCTTCTTAGAGTGAACTTGTTATTATCAGAGAAAGGGCTTCGAGGGTTTTTGGATCTTAACTGAACATATATTTTTCAAAGTATTTAAATAACAGAGTCATGGTTGTCATTTTTATCTTTCCTGTTCTCAAAAAAGATCTCAAAAAAATTTCAACTCATCAACTGCTTTTCGGATTTCGGGTTCCGGATTCTGCGCATTTTCCCGTTCCGTAATGCAAATTTTGGGTTTCGAGAAATTCATATTTGTAATCCGGGCCTTTTCTGGGCTTTCGCGGGCCCTGTCATAACTTCTTTCAGAATAAATATTTTCGAACCAACTAAATTAAATATGATAGAGCTCTACGAGTACTACAAAACGGCGTTATTTGGAATACTGTATCTTATCTATGAACAAAGTTACAGATCATAAAGTGGCTTTTCTCGCAGGGCCCGGCAGGCCCGGCCCGGGCCTGCTCTTTTTGTTCTTATTGCTCTGTAACTCTGTTCATAGACAAGATACAGTATTCCAAATAATACCGTTTTGTAGTACTCGTGGAGCTCCATCATATCTAATTTAGTTGGTTCGAAAATATTTATTCTGGAAGAAGTTATGGCAAGGCCCGCGAAGGCCCGGCAAAGGCCCTGATTACAAGTATGGAGAAATTGACTTTGTTCCGGAATCGGTTTTACGGATTCCAGTTTTTATTTATTTTACATCTCTATGTAGTTTCTCCCACCATCCTCCTCCAGTTACCAATATCGCATATGATTTGCCTGACATTTTCAGAAGTTCAAGTAATTGTTCAGTATCGCTTTCGAATTGAAAAATACATCATAATAATTTCTGTATTTTCAGCTTACTGAGCCTTCGTCATCTCTCGTTTCGCCAATGAATTATAGAGAAACGCCAGATTGGTGCGGAGACACGAACGCTCAAGTGGCAAGTTTGGAAACTAAAGAAGAACTTGAATACTTCACACACGGTAAGGTTAAAAATCCCTCATGCATGACCAACACTCATTTTTTCATTTTTTTTCTAGTTGCACGGAACTTCAAATATCCTGTCGCTGGTTTTTGGACTGCATCCGCATACAATGCAACAAGCGAAAGATGGTACTGGACCGACGGTCAAGCAGATCCGAACATTGAACCACAGCCAATAGGGAGTGATCCGAACGGACGAATCGCAGTGCTCGTCGGCTCAAGTCCAGATCCTGCCGTACTTGCAGTTGTTCCCCAAAGTGGTCGGGGTTCTGTCACTATTAGTGCTGTTTTGTGTGGTGTACCAGGCTTGCAGTTTTCCTAGTGATTCTGTTGATGATCGCTGAATAAAACTTGTTGTTTCCTATTTCTGTTATTTAGAATACACTTGATATAAAAACTATTCAAAATGAGTGAATTTTGGTGAATAATGTGAAAACTCTTCATTCACATGTATATAGGAAAGGATATAGGAAAGGGGGAATTTAAAAAGTTTTTTAATCGTCGATTTTTTTCGTAAAAAGTTTGCTTTTGTGCGCTTTTCCAGAAAATATATTAGAAAAGTATTCTTCTCTGTTTTTATTTTTCCATATTCGCTAAAAAATATGGTTACAATAGTGATTAATTTATAAATGTTTAAGTGAAAATTATTTATTTAGATTATCAATTATAAAAGAGAAAAAACACAAATTTGTTGAAGAACACAGAAAGGAAGCCACTTCTTTTCTGTGCAGAAAAGAATAGACACGTAAAAAGACAGAAAAGAAGAACCTTCCTTTCTGTGATTTTTCGGTGTGGGGTGAAATAGTTCAAATTATTCCTGACAAAAACGTGAACTTTAACTGAAGAGAGTTGAAGCTACTTTGGATGTGGACTTGTAACAAAAACTCGAGAAGGGGAATCTGAATGGTGAATTTAAGGGATGGTGGTTTTGAAGATTGGCGCCACGCAGTGTGGGTACTTGACACAAACCTGTTAAGAATTCCATTTTAGCTACTCGATTATTTT